ACCATATGATATGACACCATTCTCAGCAATAAAAAGGGGTGGGGGTGGGGTGGGGGAGCTGTAGTGGGGTGTGTGTGCAAAGTAGCCATTGCTCGGGGTCTGGCTGGACATCAGTCTGCTGGTGGGAGGTGGCAAGTCATTGCCTTTGCATCACTTTTTTTCTTTTTTTATTCTTCACTTAATAAACTTGACCCCCTTTTCTTTTCCCCTCGCTCTAGCCCTTCCGATTCTCTCCCTGTGTCACTGTGGGGAGTGACTGAGCGGCAGGGTGGGGGCTTCCCTGCCAGACAGGGACAACCCACCACAGCCACAAACTGTTGTAGGCCATGGACGTACATTTAGAAAACATCGCTACACGCTCGTGCTATTCTGCTGGTCTGCTCTGTCAGCAACATGTTTATCTGTTCCATTTATTACCAGAGCCAGGACACAGGCTATGCCAACAACTGGGCTTGCCCGCTGCAGCCATTTTATACTCTTACATACTTAGTCCAGTAACCACCTGTGTGGCATTGCCTGATTTCTGCCATTATTTCACAATTCATTTTCATGTGCTGTTTTTTCAATAGTGGTTGGAGTCAGGGATAGATCCTGACTCCAGGATCTACCAAGATCAGCTTTTCCTTAAATAGAAAAACATACGTCTTCCTTATGAATGCCTCGCAAGCTGCTCAAAGCCAAATTCAGAGGAGTTTTAACAAATTTACAGGAAGTTTTTAGCACAGTGCTAGGAACTTGAAAGAAATGAAATTGCTCCTTTTTTTCAAGGGAGTTTTACCAACAAAACTTACCTCCACTTAAACTGTAGTCAGCAGGGACGCAGGTCATTACAGCAAGAATATCCCATCCCTTCAGTATAACTCTGTTTTCCATTTAGTTTTATCACTATGGTCATGCACATGTTAATTTGCTTTTCCTCATTCAGAAAACTCATTCTCCATACGGATGGGCAGCTTTTGAACTGTCAAATACTTGCTTGCCTACGCACTGGTTCTCTGGAGCTTTTGGTACTCATTGTGGTCCCTTTGGTGATGTTCTCCTTCGACGACAGGCAGCAAGGTGCCAATCTGGAAGAAAACATTTGACCCCAGGAACTCCTGTCATGCATTCTGACTCTGGTTTCCCAGCTGACATCAAAAGCAGTAAACAAATCTGGTTAGCTGCTAAGCTGGTTGGACTGTCCACTCCCACAGCCTGAGGTTGTATCTAAAGCTGCTACCCACAGTTGCTTGCCCTGTCGATGAAAACCACCCTGGAAATCAGGGAGAGAAGAATGGATAAATGCCTTGTCTTTCCAGTGTGGACGGAAGCCTAAAGAGACTTAACTCGCTGAGACCATGGCCAAGTTTGGTCCTTAACTCTGGACGGGAATTTAGGGACACACTAGGACATTCTCCCACCATCCCTCCTTTGCCAGCAACCCCCTGAAGACTGAAGGTCTTACAGGACCACTCCCAAGGAAACGCCAGGATAGCTGGGAAGATGTGAGGCTGTCGAAGACCAGAACCTGCCAGTCTGCACTGATGAGGTTCTGTAGCAAGGCATCCATCAGCTTGAAGCACCGGGATAGTAAAGATACTGGATATGAGGATAATGCTTTTCTGAAGGCAGCCTTAAGCAGGCATACTCACGTGCCCCGTTCTGGAAGGGGCTGGCCTTATCCTAACAGCAATATTTAGGCTGAGTTGATCAGGCACTGATTACAGAAGATGTTGATAAGAGAAGTTATTTCTGGATACCTGACTCAAGTCGATGGCTGGAGCAAGATCTTCTCCACCTGCACCTTTACTTCCTTACGAGGTTCAAAGCAGGCAGAGAGTAGGTGGCTCTGAGACCTACAATGGATCCAAGAGGGCAAATTTAATTGCAATGCTTGGATCTAGATTTGCACACAGAAAAGTGGACTGAGATTTATGGTCTCTCCTTCACAGGCTGGGTCTGAATTTCAGTACCCTCTTAGAAGGAAAGGAAGTTAAGACTATAGCTGAATCTGTGATTGTTCAAAAGAAGAGATGAAAACCCCCAATGCTTAGAGGTAGAAACAGCTATAGACTAAAAACCCCATCAGTCTGCTGGAATTCGTCACAGATAAACCACTTGAGGGCTGAAAGCTAAGTATCAGCCTTTAGAGAAGGACATCAATTGCATCCATAATTGAAGAAGGCCCTAAATATTTCAGAGAAGAGGATGCGTGTGCTGTAGAAGTCGTACTTCGAGAACTACCAAAGTAGGCTGGGGGTGGAGCAGGGAAAAGGGGAGACTAGCCATAGGTGTTGAAGGTCATATAGTGACCCCCAACATTCCTACTTCTCCCTCAAGGAAAGGAGTAATTGGGGGAGAGGAAAGAGGAGTCAGAGGGTAGAACACTGAAGTAAATCTCTCACCCCCTCATCCTCTAGCCTCTTGTCCTTCCCTGGATTTAGCAAGGCAGCTTGAAAAGCAGTGAGGCTGCCCAGCTGAGAAGCATTCCTGGCTGGCAAACAGCCTCGTAGACAAACTGCTGGTTGCTGCTTAGTCAGCACCTTGAGGCACGCTGCCCTGCAAAACAGGCCTCGGGAAACTTTGAAAGCTAGGCGCAGTTGTCACTCTTCTTTCCTGTGCAAAATCTGTGCCAGAGCTTTTTGCTGGATGAGGACAAGGCAGTGACCTGGCACAAGGTATCTGCTCCATCCCCTCCTGGCATGCAAGAGAAAGGAGCAGCTGTAGATATTTGAACGTGGGAGAGAAGAAAAAGGCACTTGGTTCCTAAACAGACTTTTGAATGTCTGGTGAGGCGAAAGCTGAGGGAACCACACATCTATGGTACAGACAAGCTATAGGCTTTCACAGGCACGGTGAGAAGATGTTTGGAGCAAATGCACCTCTCAAGTGATGGGTGGCAACTAGTAAGAATTTGCAACAATATTCTCATATCCAGGAATAAGTGCCTTTAAAGAGATACCCAATAGACTTTTAAGAATGTAGAGTGGCTGTTGCCTCTAGCCAACTTAAACATATAAAATGCTAGTGAATTATATTTCATGATTTATGGACCACCCGCTTCTACTCTTATTAATGAAATTATTCATTAAAACAAAGCTCCAGCTAGATCCAGCTACTGGATTTACTCACTAATTTTGAGAAATGAAGTTTGGTTGTCTGCAGGAATTGGACTGGAAGGCCCTTTTTCCTGTTTAAAGAGAATAATATTTACAGCTTTAAATGCTATGTCAATTTAAATGTTATAATGTTTCACAATCATGTATTTAAACACAGAAATCTGTTTATTTACCCAAACAAAACAGAGGAAATGATTCCAGCCCTCAGGTTTTGAATTCTTGTTTAAATATGTGAACATCAGTCCACAACTTAGAGATGTTTGTGTTATCTATGTACCTCCAAAATACTCATATTTCATAGGCTTTTTCACATTAATATTCACCAACAGTATCACAAAAGTTCTTTTTCTTTTACATAACTGTAAGCAACAGTAATTCTAGAAACACTAGAGAAAAAAAAGCATAGCAATGTCCACAGTTACAAGAAAAAGTGCACATTACTTGGTCACAATCACAGTCATTACTTGGAAAACTATATGTAACAAGTAGATATAAAATATCACTGATGCCTTAAACTCATTGTCAAAAACGGAATTACATAAAATTTTGTACATGAAATAAGGCAAATTTAGGAATGCACAAGAAACTTGTTATTCAACGAAAGCTAAACAACAGAACAGATAGTACAGTAAGCATAAACTAAAGTACTTTTTTCTATATACTCAAAAATAAGCCTGCCGTAGTGCACAAAGAAAACACCATTAATGTGTAATCAATATTATAAAATAAGAATAGAGGGGTTGGGAAGAGTGGGGGAGGGGAGAGAAGAGTTTTATTATAGTTGCAGCTGCATCCATTTACAGTTTTGTACAGGTTTTAGCTAGGCCTGGGAATTGTACAAATCATACCAGAAGTGTCAATGACCTTCCTCCGTAAGAATTTTGCTTAAATTAAGGAAAACAAAATAAATACACACAAGAGTGCAAATTTTCAGATTGTCACTTGCAACCTCTTAACATTCATCATCTACATCCAATCACAACTAGAGGGACTTGTACAGGACAGCAGCAGTGATCATGGAGTTAGATGAGCTCACCGTAAGAAATCAATTTATCTTTTTTTTTTTCTCATTGATATGTCTTTTTTTTTTAAAAAACCCTCAACTCTTTATTAATTGCTAATAAAGCTGCAATATATTACAGAATGGAGTCGAGAATGGTATGAATGCAGGAAATGCATGCTTCCTTTGGAAGGTATTCCATAGATGACAATTTACAGTACACGGGGGAAGAATTATCCAGCATCAAGAGTTACTCGTTGTAGAAAGAATATGAAGTTGGGGAGAAGGGCACAGTCAGGGGTTCAAGAGAGGAAGGGGGACTTACAATAGCTCCTCAAAACATTTTCAGGACCAGTGAAAAAGTTTACCAAAGTAAAAATGAAAAATCTTGAATGAAAACAAAAATCTTTTGTTTTGTTTTTTATAAAAATTACATTTTTTTAAAATACAAGATCCTTTTAATTGCAATTGTGCCCTGTAGCAACAGGACATTTGGCAACGTTTTGCCATATACTGCAGCTTTAAGTCCAATGAGTCAGTGTCACATTCCACTAATATTGCACTTGGATCTTGAACCATTTTTTTTTAAAACCATCACAGCATCTTCTGTTTCCTCCACTTGTTAGAAGGAGTTAATTTCTAGCCACTTTTTCGATATTTATGCTGACACACTAAAACAAAAGCAATAGGCCGGACACAGGAAAGTACCTCAGAAATACCAGAGGTCGAAGTTCACTTGAAGCACCTTAACACATCACTTTATGGATCAAGAACAGTGTGGCATTATGGTAATTAACTCTCCTAAAAGACTGTGCAGTAACTGAAGTGTGTGCTCTGGGAAATCAAAATGTCATTAGTGGAAACTCTGAGATAAGACCAGGCCAGTGTGAAGGTCACATGACTCAGTTCTGCTGCAAAATAAGGTTTTCCAGTTCATCTGCAGAACGCAATAAAAATGCGGCTGATTCTCGATACCCTGCCACAAGCTGCCTCACTGCATTTATTTCAGTTGGACTCAGCTGGGGCCTAGAGCTTGAACTACTGGAGGATCCAGAGCTGGTTGCTAACTGCCTCTTCATACTGAGATCTGTTGGACCTGCAGATAAGAAAGGAAAAGAAAAGAAGCTTCAGATCCGCTGCCAGAGACGTTTCACAGGTTTGCAGCTACGAATGCAGAGTAGCAAAATCTGCTCTCAGCTGAGTGCTGGTGAGAAGTAGCAGAAACAAGCAATAACTGTTCAGTTACCAGTTGCCTCAATAGGAACGACAGAGATTTCTATTTATATGTGGCAGACACCCTATAAGTTCTGCTTACATAACACGAAGGGCAAGTTCACTGCCAGCAGAAAATTAGCCTCTGGGCTGGGGGGCGGGGGGGGAGTAGCCCAACAGAGTAAGCCACTTGCACCCCAAAACTGCCCTGGGATCTGACACTGGTGAGCAGGCAGGAGGTTCATCTCCTGTGCCTCCCCCAGCTCCTGCTGCCATCATGGCCTTCATAGCAATCTGCACACTTGCAGTTTTTATCACAGAATATCAAACTTATGTTCTCTAGATTCATATTTTCATGTTTTATGCTTCAATCTGCATGCGGCCAGATTATGAACCCCTTACAGACATAGATAAATGCTCATTCACTTTGACCAGCCCTGATGCCGTGTGATCACTGGTCGTGAATGAGATTAGGCTGGTGACAAACTGGCTGCCACAGTGAGGAGCACGCTATCATCTGTGGGGGCTGCATACAGCTGGCAAAGTACCGCGGGGATCTTGTAAGGCCTTAACACCAACAGGAGGATCTGCAGCAATCACCACGTTGCACTGGCAGCTTATACCAATAAGCTTAGCGCTTTTCATCAAAGAATGTTCTCAAGCCCATGTACGCTGCGTGCAGAAGACAGCGCTCCTGAGGGTAGGTTACTGCCACTGGCAAAACCATCTGCCATCATGAAGTTCAGCTTCGTGGAATTTCCCTGGTCATTTGGCCTTCGTTATTAATAAGCTAAGATGTTCGGTGCTTTGATGGGATATTTGCGTTTCCCACTTAATACATTTTTTCTTCCTGGAGGGTAAATTTGGATAGGTAGAATTGGACTGAGGACTTCTTTAAACATAAAAGGGTACAGATGGCAAATACACCTATCAAGCAGTTTATTATGTGCAAATGTGGGAAAATACTGCTCATTCATTTTGACAGTGTAGCAAATCTATACTTCTGAAGAAGTAGAAGCAGAAGATCAGACTTAATACTTTCCTGGGAATCGGAATCAAGTTGTCCAAAGCAATGCATATTGCTTTCCTCTGAGAAAAATGTTACTGCTCAATTTCATCTGGACAATGTATGTCAATGCCCAGGCTTTCTCAGTATTGGCCCACTGGATGGGCCTTGCTTCCTAAAAAGACTGGAATAGTTTTAAACTTTAGCATATTCAACTGCAGAATCCAGAACACACCAGTTCATACTCTAGAGGGTCTCCTAAATAATCCCACCAGGATCACAAGATTCAAACCCAGACTCACTATCTTAAGCACTAATGGAAAGAGATGTACTGATTTCCAGAAGCTGAGGATCTGGTCATAAACCATACTTATTTTTCTTTTGTGTTTATGCAGAGGTATGGCTGAGATCACAAAGAACGTGGAGATTGTCACGTCCCCACACTCACTGAAGTTAATGAAAATCTCCCCGTGAGTGAATGAAAGCAGAGCTGGGACTATGAAAAGAAACTACTCGAACAGAAAGGTTCCTATTAGATCTTATTTCCTACTAGACAACTACCATGAACAGCACTTAGCCTTACAACTATATTATCCGGTTTTACACAGGCATAAATGAACTGACTTTTAAACGACTTCCAGTGTACAAAGGATAAATAACAGGACAATTAGCTCAGTGAATTTGTTTCAGTGTGACCGCGTGCTGCAGGGAAAAAATCACAGCGTGAAGAAGCTCAGAGGATATTTCTAAGTAAAATCTTAACCCAGCCCAGAGAAGAAGGCTATACAAATCATAAAGCCAGCTGGACTGAATGGTTGTAAGAAGCCATTAAAGACTTCTATATTTATTGAGGCAGTAGTGAAAAAGCTGCCAGTGACATATTGAGGGCATTGTGCTCCATATGAACCTACTTTAACTTTTATGTTCTTTCCTTGACTCTTATTCATGTCACAGCCAAAACCACACACACAATATATGGCAGAACAGAGCCTCTGTGGCAGAGCACACCTTTTTCTGAAACAAAACTGAAGGGCTTTTCTCATGGGTAATCCAGATTTTTAAGTGATTGAATCGGATATTAAGTTTATTTCACTCATAAGTAGAAAATACATAGAAATGTGCTTGCTTACATCTCTGAGGTTTTCCTTACAAAAATTGATGACACAAAGTAAAAGCACCACTCTGAAAGGAAAACTGGGAGATCAGATGTCCAGCATGCATAAATCAGCGTAACTCCTCACAAGTCTACAGGGTCACAGTGATTTACACAAACTGAAGATCTAGCCTCTATTCCTGGATATCCAGATCAACTACCATGAGGAAAGTTTTCTAACTCTTCAGAATATGTATCTTTGAATCCCTAAAGGTACTGGAAATAAAGTTTTGTACAAATGGAAATCTGCAGTCTGTATACAGAAGGAACCATCAGGACCCAGAACTTCTCTTGGTCTGGGAGACTTCTGTTGCATACAGAGTTCTTGTATACAAAGGAGATAAGACATGTCTGATTTTAACTTACCCCAGCTACTTCAAACTACCTGATTTTTTTAAAAATTTCTATACACTAGGAAAACAGGATTTTACTTTACTCTCCAACTCCTGCCTTGTACTTAACAAGTCACAGAGCTGTCCTCCTTCCCCTCAAAGAAAAGCCCCTTGAGCAAAAAAAGCAAAGAAATCCATGCACAGAGAAAAGTGTTCATGGCTATGGTTTCAGGACAGCAAGCACACCGGTGCCTTCTCAGGAAGGGAAGCTGCCTGTGCAGGCAGAGAGCTGAACAGAAAGAGAGCAAGCCATGCTTGATGGGGGAATAAGGATTTTAGTTCTTTTAATTATGTCATGTGACCCCTACACCTCACCACCAAAGCTTGCCTATGACAGCCCAAGCTTTATATCTGGGAGAATACCTCACCCAGGGACTAGCCCCAGATCTGTTATACTGGTCTCAGCTTTTAATAGCTATGATAGACACTCAGTGGCAGTATGACTGATTCTTAAGGGCTGTCCAGGCTGCTGTATGCTAAAAATGCTATAACTTATCTGTAGCTTCATAAGTCATATGTCATCATTCAGAAAATAAGGAATAAATGCATCTTATTCTTATAGCGTAGATTTTTCCTGTGTAATTTTATGCATAAATATCCACCACATTTCTTTAACCAGACAAATAAATCACAGATATTCTGAAGGCTTAAAATAGCTGGTTAAGGTAGACACCTCTATCTCCAGAAGCCATCACTACAGATGACTAAATCTGGAGAAAGCTGAACAGCTTCATCACCATTTCTTTTACTAACTATCCTTACTTTAAATAGAAATATTTCCTTAGTGTACTTAAGATTACTAATTAAGCTGCCAGTCTTCACAGGAACAAGGAAGTGTATCCTTATACAGAGGGAAATCTGAATATTTTTGCAATGAATTTTGCAGTGTCAGGTTCCTCCAAGGTGATACTGCACATTTTAGCATACTGCTTCCTATGCTGGAGTACTTCAGGACAATTAAAAATCTTGATTGCAAACATTATCAGGTTCACAGTGTCGGTGTGTGCAAGCAAAGATTAAGCATATATCATAGAGATGAAGACAGGCTACTTATTTTTATTTCTTTATCTTACTATTATAATTCACAATTGTCACCTCCCACGTTTTTGTAACAGCAAAACATTCTCTTAATCAGTGGGTTAAACAAATTGCTGAGACAGATCCTTTCTTTTATATTCTTTCAGAAGACTGAAGTATTGTTCCTCTGCCTCTTGCCAAGGCCACCTGATTGACACTTTAACATGGGAATATTTTTGATTTACCACCTCAGTCCAGTTGCATAGACCTAATTTCCCCTGTGAGGTGAAATTGTTCTTGTTGGAACCACATCAAGCTGAATACGAGAACTCTGAAAACCCACTCCTCATGCGCTAGACAAGCATTTACCAAATTAGCTGCTAGGAATATCTGCCATTAAATACACTGTGGGACAAATGGCTTTTCTGCAAATTGCGAGACTTAAATGGAACTAGTTATTGCCTCATGCACTACTCATTAGCAACATGATTTATATCAAATTCCAAAATATGGGTCAGATGTAGATGTGCTGTTACTGATTGCCTAGACACTATCAACTGTCTCAGCAAAAATCCCTTAAGAATTGTATGCTGTCACTGGGCATCTACCAATCTTATAATTAACAACTACTGAAGGAATAATAAATGTGTCAATGACTCTCAAAATGGTTATGACTATTGAAGACAATAATTTAGAATAACAAAAAAAAAAATTCAAAAAGCTGTATGTGCTTATGCATCTATGCTTCTACATTTTCATTAATAGTTAAGCAACCTTTTTCATCAGTGAAGATGTAAAAAGCAGTGGCACTTGTTTATAGAAAAATACATTTGCCCATGCTTTGGAATCTCTCTTGTGTATCTTTTCTATTGCACCCATTCTCCTCTTCCCTTTTTTTCCCCATGAGTGGCTTGAGAAGTGAGTATGTACTAGATTCTCACATACTCCAATAAAACTAAATAGAAACAACTGTTGAAGTATGCTACTTTTTCCAAATCAGAGGTATTTATTATTGCAAGAATGTTTTATTGTGATATTATGCATCTGTCAATGTTTCCTTTCCTCCTGCCTTCAAACAGAGAGCAGATGTGCCTAAAACTATTGTTTCAAGTGCCAGGAGATCTCAGATCAAGAAAACAGGGACTAATGAATTGGACCTTTTAAGCTTCTTTCTCCCTTCTACACCTTTCCCTCTGGAAAACATACTTCAGCTAGTTTAGATAGGAGAAAAAAAGTGCTGTGTTGCCTGAGGAAAGAGATGTGAAAACACAGAAATGCCTATAGCCACTGAACATCATGCATTTTCAACAGTCAGCAAACATGCTGGTCTGTGATGAAATGATTATGTCAGGTCCTCCAGCAATGTTTCCTATCCACCATAGGAGATTATTTACGTGGCATACACCTGTCTTGCCTTAATGGTTGTCTCCTGAGCTTTCTGCAAAGGTAGAAAAGTAGGATACTGTCCAATATATCCACAGACATTCTATCTCCATTCCTATGGTGGGAGCAGACTTGCATATGCCATGTATCCTATAATTTGAAGAGGAGGAGGAAGGGGGACGAGAAACGTGGAGATTATCTTAATACAGAATTCAGCCAGTATTTCCCAGCGAGAAATCCCCACCTTTGCCACAATACAGGTGAAACCATTTAACTTCTCCCAACCCCACATTTTGCCATTTTTAAATGGGACTAAACACACTCTCCCAGGTTCCTGACTCCATCACTCTTGTTCTGTGTCTGTTCATGCCCCAAGCTCCAGCTGTGTTAGAGCAAACTGTTTTGTCTTTCCTCTCTCTCTCCACTTTGATGTTGTCAGGGTAGTACTGAAAACACAGAAGACTGCACAAGAGTAGAGGTATAAAGAAGAGCTGGAAAGAGCAACCACAGCAAAAATCCCATCAGCCCCTACCTCATGGCCAGCCATCTTGTGGGTAGCCCAGTCAGCACTTTAAGAATTAGCTACATACTGGATATTCTCAGCTGGACTTTTTTTTTTTTCCTAGTTTATTGCCAAGAAGCCTCTACTGATCAATGCAAATGCCAGGATTTTACAGAAGGTTACAACTTCACCAAATTTGAAGGTGCAGAAATGAGGCACCCTCCCTACTGTCACATGCAAAAGTAGACCAGAGTGCTCAGCCCTCCTCTCCATGCCCCAGAGCAGCATGGCCATGCTGGTTGCTGGGGCTCAGCTACCCTGTTGTCTTCAGCAGGGCTGCACCGCCTGAAGGACCAGGAGGCAGAAGGACCAGGAAGTCTGATTTGCACATGGGTAAGAGGCCTGGCTAAAGGGGGAACGGCTGGAAGAGTGCAGCCTTCTTGAGCTTCTGGAAGAGAACAGCGGGGAGAGGTGAGCGGTGTGGTAGGACTGGCTGGACCATGGGTCCATTGATCATGGTCTGCAGGCCCGC